CCCGCGATCCGGGCCGCCGAGGCCGCAGGCTCCCGCGCCGTGGGGAAGCGGAGCCGGGGGGAGGGGAGGCCGGCGACGCGCGATGCCTGCGGAGCGGCTCCCACGATCAATTCATCCTCCGGGCTCCGGGCCGAGCGTCGCCCGGGCGGGAAGTACCGAGGCGCTTCGCCGCCGTCCCGCGCGCGCTCCCGACCCGCTGCTTATCGGGCCCCGGCAGCCGCCATGACGCCGACCGTGAGCGAGCGCAACCGTCCCCGCCGTAGCGCCGCCGCCACCGAGGTCGCCGTCGCCTCCGCCCCCACCGCGACGTCAGCGCTCTGCTCACTCCCCTTCCCGGGCGAGAGGTGGAGGCGCGCACGCGCGGCCTTTCCCCCTGCTCGGCGAGGGGCGGGGCGGCGGCGCGCGGGGCGGTGACGCGCCCCTCGCCGAAGCCACCGGACTTTGACTGAGGAGCGGCCCTCGAGCTGCTCCCCGCTGCACTGCGGATGGATGTGAGCGCCGCTGTCACTCGCGCAGTCTCGCAAGACCGCGAGGCGGGAACAACCTGGAATGGGCAGGGACCAGGTTTGCCTGCTGGGGGTGGAAGGAGCCGGTGGGGCGCGCCGTGTCGCTCGGCCCGGCCCCGTCACTGGTCCCTTGCCCGGCCGGGTCTGAGCTTAAGGCCGCCGCGCCCCCTGGAGCTGCTGCGTCACCTCGGGCAGCCTGGGAGCGCCACGACGGGGCAGAAGTGTTGTGTTCCCGGGCCCCCGGCCGGGCGACCTGCGGCGGAGTGTCCCGCAGGGCTTGGTGTCTGCCCGGGCGGGCCACTTGAGGAGCTGTTGTTGACTTCCCATGACGCTACTTGATTCGTTTGTGGGTGGCCCGTGCCTGGTTCATAAAAGAACTTTCACAACGGTTCCTTTCTAGGTCCCTCCCTGAAGGGGGGGGGGAGTTGAAGGGTGCGGTGCCAAATTGCAACAAAAAGGCCACTCGTGGGGCGTTAGAACTGTCTCCGTTTAAGGTGCTGCGACTTAGACTTAGTTGATAGTTTCTTTCATTACTGTATCCTCAGGACTCATTGTGTTGGAAACTCTGTATCTTTTCAAGCATGTAATGTCGCAGTCTTATACACAGTTTCTAATTCTGTTTCTATTTTGAGTTTTGAAACAATGCCTCACTATGTAGCCCAGGCTGGCCTCAGGGCAATCCTACCCCAGAATTAGGAGTTTTGGGATTACAGGTTTGTGCCAACAACCGCACTATGCGCACTGTTCACGCAAGCATCTTTTTAAATCAAAATTCTTTCGCACTTCATTTTTCCGGTTTGCGGCTTTTTAAAATATTTTGTTTTAAGACCGCCTGTGTAACCCATCTGGTCTCCTGAATCTGAATTCACCAGCCTCAGCCTCTCGACTTGTGATGGTGGGATTGCAGAGGTGCCTTCCATGTTGGGCTAATTTTAAAAACTCTGATTTTTCATTCTGAAATTAGATTTGATGTAAAGGCCCCTTCTTGCAAGCCAAATGAGTTTGATAGCCATAATAGTCTCCATCGAATTTAGATATTTGCCCGTTTGAGAAATACCTAAATGGTTTAGTCCAAAGCCTTTAATGAAATCTGAAAATATGTGTGTTCATTGCATTCAAGTGTTTATTCACCCTTGAAGAAGGGGAAGATGTGCATGCTCAGGTTTTTAAAGGTCAATAGGTAATGTGAAACTATGTTTTGGATAGTTGATAGCTGCATAAATTCCTAGTTTCAGTTTATTTAATAAATTGTGGGGCTGGAGAGATGCCTTAGCAGTTATAAGCACTGGCTGCTCTTGCAGAGGACCTAGGTTCAAATCCCAGCACTCACATGGCAGCTAACAACTGTCCATAATTCCAGTTCCAGGGCTTCCAAAGCCCTCTTCTGACTTCTATGGGCGTTGCATGACACAGGTACACGTACATGTAGGCAATACACTCATATATATATAAATAATAAAATTTTAAAAAATTAAAATAAACTATCTCAGACTCGAGAAATGGCTCAGCAGTTAAGAAAGAACACTTGCTATTCTTGCAGAGGACAGGGATTAATAACTGTAGGTAACTCCAGTTCCAGAAGATCTGATGCCCTCTTCTGGCCTCTGCAGGCACTGCACACATGTGATGTACTTACATACATGCAGACAAATACACATAAAATACAAATAAATTTTTAAAATTGTGTGTGTGTGTGTGTGTGTCTGTGCAAGCTACAATGATCATAGAGAGGTCAGAGGACCACTTTCATGAGTTGGTTCTGTCCTTTTAGCATGTTGGTCCTGGAGATTGAACTCTGGTCTTCAGGCCTGGTGGCAGGCATCTTTACTCACAGAGCCATCTCTCTGGCCCAACTGCATCTGTTCTTACTGGTGCAGCAAACAATAGCCTTACAGTCCATTTAGGCATGTAAAAACAGCAAAATTCCAGATTAACATTAACCAGGAGTTTTGGGGGGGTTTTTTTGTTTTATTTTGTTTTGTTTTTAACTACTATTCAATTTCCTATTTGGAGGAATAGGAAATTCCACTTCATATTCATGTGGAAAAGTATTACATTTACAGAATCTAACACATTGTATGAATCCTTAATTCTGATCTATTTTACTAGAGTAACTGCTAATGGATATCTGTGGTGGTTAGTCAAGATTGTCAACTTGGCTGGATTGAGAGCTATCTAGGATTTAAGGAAACATCATACCAGGTATGTCTCTGAGGTCATTTCCAGAGAAAATTAGATCACTGGGGTTCTGACCTAATCCTTTAATGGATTCGAATTTTGACTAGATTATTAGGATGGGATAGAACTGTGGTGGGTAGGGCCTAAGAGGAAGTGAGTCACTGGGGGTGGGGGGCTGCCTTAGAAGAATAGATCTTTACCTTGGCCTCTTCCTGTTGTCCCACCATGATGTCCTGCGTCCACACAATCCCAGAAACCATGAAGCCAGCCAACCATAGAGTGTTAATCCTGAGAACCTGAGAACCGTAAGCCAAAAGAAATCTCCTTCAAGTAGATTTTCTCAGGGATCTAAATTACAGTGATATAAAAGTGACCCACACAATATCTTTAAGTGGATATACTGAGAAAACTTTACAGAATGGAAAATACATCACAGAAAATGGTGCTCCCTCTTTGAACTTTTTGAATGTTTTATTATTTTTATTCTATGTGTATAAGTGTTATTGCCTGCATATGTGTAAGTGCACTCACGTCATACGA